ACGCGGGCGCTCACTGAGCGCGCTGCGGGTCTGTGCTCTCAAAGCGCACTTCAGCTACGCCCACGTAAAATATGTTGTCAGTACACGGAAACGGGACACCGAGCTACGAAAATCGAACTTATTTGTGTGCATACAGGGTTATTTACTTATTTATAACCTGGAGATTTTTAAAAAAAGAAATAAAATTGAAACCCAAATGAAGGTGAGCCCACTGTTGGTTAATCATCACGCGGAGCAACCGCCAGGCAGCAAAATCTGCCTTTTTGTGCTGAGGAACAAGGTGTGTGTGCCGCTCCCCAAGGAGCAACGCCCCTCCTCGCCAGCACAGCCCCTAGGCAGGGCCAGGAGTGACAGCACACACAACCCCTTTCCCACCGCGTTTTCCTTCTTTCTTTCTGGTTTTACTGCAAGAAAAAGCTCAAGGGAACAGGTGCTCTCTGCGGAGGGGCCGGCGGCACGGTACCTGGTGCCGCATGAAGTGCTGCTGGAAGGCGTTGCCGTTCTTGAAGACCTTGAGGCAGTAGGGGCAGAGCAGGTGCCGCGTGTCCTCGTGGATCATGCGGAAGTGGCTGTCCACCTCCGAGTAGAGCGACGAGCGGTACTGGCACACCTGCACCGGGGGGACGGGGACAGTTAGCGGCGAAATAACACCGGGGTGCAGCTCGCTCTCACTGCTGCAGCGCGGGGATCCCCACGGGGGGAGCTGAGGAACCAGCTCCTGAAGAACCCGCTGGCTTATTCCAGCTGCAAGCTACGAAACCAAGCACCGCACGTTCAGAGCAGTTTGGAGAAATGGGTTTGAACTACTTGTATAAAGGGAAAATAGTGAAGTTCAAGCTCCAGGTCCAAGGAGACAAAAAAAAGGGGAAAAAAGGGAGAGACGGTCAATGCAGAGCCACTGGGATACACTAAAGAGCAGTTTCTTCAGGGTCTATGTAAAATGCAGAATTTGGAATGTGATCTGGTTTAACAGAGTGTATTTTACGAGTTTCTTCTCTGTTTTTTCTTTTTTGGAGGGAGAGTATTAGGACCTCTGGGTGGAGGTGACACGTTCAGAATCGACACAAGCACAAATCTCATAGCAACAGAGTGTCAAGAGAAGGTATCACACAAGCAACATGATCTCATCTGCTCCAGAGTGACAACTTCTCTTTATGGCACAGCAATTTGCCTGCAGGCCCTGGGAGGCAAAAAAAATAATAATAATAAAAAAAAAAAATCAGGCTCTGAATGCCAGTGGGGCTAAAGAAACGTCTACCGAGCTGATCCAGCTTCAGAGCGCTGGGAGCTGGCGGAAGAGCCACTGGATTTCTCCAAGTCCACACCTGGAAAAAACCACTGTGGGCTCTGGGGCACCAGGTCTGGAGCTCCGCTCCAAGCGCCAGAGCTCCTCCTCTCAATCCTGTAGCGCGTGTTTGTGAAGGGCAGCCCCGGAGCTCCTGTGTACCTGACACACGTAGGGCATCTCCCCGGGCTTGTGAGTGTCCTTCATGTGCTGCAGGAACATCGGCTCGCTCTCGAAGGCCCACTCGCAGATCTTGCACTTTGCTGCAAGGGGAAGGGAAAGCCGGGGGACAGAGCACAGCGTTACACAATCCTTCAGCAACAACCGTCCCTAAAACAGAACAAGAACATACCCACCCCCAAAGCACGACCCTCCTAAGCCTCAACAAAGAGCAGCAGCAGCATCAACTCACTTGTTGACTCGTAGGGACTGTGGACGTTCTCTAAGTGACACTGTAGCTGGAACGGGGTGGAGAACTGTCGGTAGCAGTGCTGGCAGATGGTGTGGACATCCACCTCTCCGTTCTGCTGATCCAGCTCCACGTGGTGCTTCATGTGGTTCATAAACCTTCGGGAGGGGAAGAGAACGGCTGTGAACGGGGATCCAAACATTTTGCACCCGCAACCCGGAAAGCGCTACGAACGCTACGCCCAAGGGTTCTTCAACACCACTAAAGACGTTTCCTTCTCGCTCTTCCCACCCATTACGCAAATTCAGTCCAGCAGCCTCCCGCTCCCCAACTCTAGGGAAAGCCAGAGAACAGATTTCAGGGTTCAGAGGCTGTGCTGCGACCCCGACGGGAGGCGCTGGGAACACCAAAGGCCGTTTCTGCGGCGCGGCGCGTTCCCTTACCGTATGTTGTTCTTTAGCCTCTTGGTGCAGTGCGGACACCTGAAGGAAGTCGGAACCTTGGGGAAGTTGAGGAGCTGGTTCACTTTGCCACCGTCTCTGCCATAGTAGAAATCATCTACCAACATAATGAGCTTACTTTGGGATGAGTCAACTACGTTTTCACTTGGCTCTGGAGCTTTAGCAGGCGGGGACAGCGCAGGGATGGGAGTAGAAGAGGGTGGTGAAGCAACAGCTGTAGTTTTTTCTGGAGACGGAGGCTTTGCAGATTGAATATTTGGTTCAGATTCTGGAGATTTTCTTTTCCTGAGGAATTTAACCATTTCAGGGCAGCAGTACTAAAAGGAAAACAAACCCACAAGTTAAACAGTTATCTAGGAAGAACTGTATATACACACGCTATTACACACAGACTAACTGGTACTAAGAAAAGACAGAGGAACTTTAGGAAACTCTTGAAACTAATGCAGAGTCAATACCCCGTCAGCTCTTTGGATTGTTTACAAGATTAGAAACAGAAGGCATCTCCTGGCACCAACAGGAGGTAAGATCGACGTCCTCCCTGCTTCCAGCGAAGGAGGCTGAGCCTCTCGCTCTCTCCTAGTCCTGGTCTCCCTTTTCGCAAAGCCCCCGATCGAGGAAGAAGAGCTGTTCTCTGCCGCGCACAAGCACGAGCAGTTCCCCCTTATCTGCTCCTCCGAGCACAGCTGTCACTTACACACATGTGGCCTCTTAAAGCTTCGGTCACTCGGAACTGAGCGTCGCACCTCGGGCAGACCTTCCTGCCACCATCTTGCAAATCAAACGTGGGAATAGGAGATGAACTGACTGTGTCGGGGAAAAACAAAACAAGAGAAAGAGAATCCTTGCACTTCACCTTAAACACAGGCAACCCTTCTGGGATATGTGGAAACACTTCAGTTTCAAGAGTTGTACTTTTAACGACTACCCAGACTGGAAGAGGCACGAAAAAGGCCGAAGTATGCAAACTTCTGACAACCTTCACGACAAAATGTACCCCCCAGCAGCCAGAAATATCTCTAAACTAGACTTAATAGCAATGTACCTCACAGCAACTTCTCGACTCCCAAACACCTCAGGAAGGTGCTTTTTTTTGGGAGAAGCAAAGATTTTATCCTTTTGCCTGCCTCTGTAGAGAATTTCAGGTGCGTGTATTCTCAAGCTGGCAGCAGGCACAGCAGTGACTTTGAGCGCAGAGTAACGGGTGTGAGCAGACAGCCCCACGCCCATCACCACTGGATGGAAACGTGCCGAGAAAGATGAAGAATCCAGAAGCAAAGCTTTCCAAGAGTTGATCCCTATCATGGAGTCTCGGCAGTTACGCTCCAGCATTTTGTTCCTCCAAAAAACCAGATTTCGGAATTCTCAGCAGAACCAACCGCGTGAGGAGAGCCGCGACGGACCGTACCTTTCAACGACGACGACGAGGAGGACGACTCGGACACGCTCGATCTCTGGGAACCGTGCACGGGGCTGCTGTTGGAAACCACCAGCGGGCCAGGGCTCTGTCCTAACGAAGGAATGGTGTTCAGAGCATTCACTAGCTTAGCAACCTCATTGCCAGGGCTCTGTCCTAACGAAGGAATGGTGTTCAGGGTATTCACTAGCTTAGCAACCTCATTGCTGTTCTCACCAGTCACTCCAGGTCTCTTTACAGTCACCAAGCTCGCAATACTCACTGCCAAGGGAACGGATAATACAAGAACACTAATAAGGAATCAGTGAGATCTGATCCGCTGCGTGACGCCCACCCCAGCTGGAATCTCTCCTCTCTCACTCCTCTGCCCTCGCCAGCGGTGGCCGAGCCACCTGGCACCCCGGCCCGTCACACGAGGGCTGGCAGGACGGGCAAGCGGATTCCCCGACCTCCGAGCTACGAGCTGAGTCCCACGATGAACTAAACAGGACAGGGATGGTCCCAGACACCATTTGTATTTCTTCTCTAAATGCAGCTGCATACGATTACAGCCACTTAAAACTAAAAATAGCCCGACGACTTGCTGGGTGAAGAAGTATTTTTTCCCCCTCTCTAAATTGTTCGTCGCTATTCTGGAGCGATCATTTCACTCATGAATTCAGCCGACATTCAAAAAATAAAAATAATAACAAAAAAAAAGCAGCACGGTTTGTTTCTGCTTGTGTTCATCACCTACTTGTTTTCACCTTTCAAAAAACACAAGTAGTATTTCACACTTTTGGGGACTTCTGGTTAACGGTCTCGGAGCATTCCACAAACCACGATTTAACTAGTTCTCAAAGCAAACTTCTCCTGAGGGTTATCCTCCTCCCCCAGGTTGGGAGGAGAGAGCAAGCCTGCGCCAGCAGCTGAGGCAGAACCAGAACTCAGAGCTCCCACTCAGGTTCTGCCTCTCGGCCGCCGCGCCATACGTCAGCCCATCAGGTTACAGACAGCGTCACGCACTCAGCCCCCTCGCTTTCCCGTGGCAAGTCTTACCTAATTTGGGGTTAGTAGCTTGACTGGACTGCCCTGGCTGCTGCACAGTTAACTGTCCCAGTGCTGCTGGCTGCGGTGCAGTAGGAGTTGTGGAGGTGCTGGGAGTGGACTTACTTTGCTGTTGGGCCTGGGACTGCGGAACAGTGCTCCGGATGGTGAGCGTGGCCGGAATGACCGTAGTGAAAGTGTTGGTGGTGGGTCGGACCGGCATGGTCGTACCCGGTCTCACCTGGGCCATTTGAGAGAACACCTGAGGAACGCCAACGGCCGGTTTAACAAACTGGGTACCTGGGGCTTCAGAAACAAACGAACAAACAAGGCGCATCAAGTAACCAAAGTCCATCCTTTGCGCGGTAACAACTGAATGCAACTTAGTTTTCCAGCGCGGCTGAACTCCCCGAATTCCCAGCACTCTCAGCACGTGGGTACTACGACCAAAGGACCTTCTCTCTGCTGCCGGGAATTACAGCCACAAATCCAGACAAATCTCCCCTACCACAGAAACAACTCCCCTTCTCTTCAGAGCTACCAGATACGCAGATGAAATACAGATTTCAAATATAATTTTATTTTTTTTTAACCCTTAGGAGTCTTAAAAAGGAACAAGACAGTAGCCTTGGCTTGTGTCGGTCCTTACCTGGGACGAGGGTGATGGG